TCAAACAAAGCCAAAGCCGTCCTTTCAAGGCTGATGCATTGAGTCCAACAGGAAATACCGCTGTGAGGAGTTCCTTGCTCAAGAGCTGCGACTCAATATTCACCAGCAATCTGGGATCAAATTGAAGGCATCGTAGTCACTGGAAAAATTCAAAATTCAGGTTCAGTTCTGGGGTGCAACTTATGTCTGACAATTTGCTGTGCTACTTTTCTCCGCCAAGCTATATTAGTTGATTGACTGGTTTATTCAAATATAGAGTCTGTGCTGATACAAGAGACATCAGTAATATTTTCCTCACTTGTACAGTGAATATAATAGAAAATGAAAAGTACACAAGAGACACATGCAAGGATGCTTCTTGCAGCATTATTATAAACGCCCAAAACTTCAAATAACTCCAATAAATGCTCATCCAGAGCAGAATGGTAAATTATGATATATTTATACATATACTTTATACACATGCATTACAATACTGCACAGTAATGAAAAGGAACAGAATACAGCTTCATACAATGTGGATAAATATCACAAATATAATTTTATTAAAGAAATTAGATACAAAAGAACATAAACTAGTTGAGTCTATTAAAGTTCATTAAGCAGGCAGTAGTATGCTTTGGGTGGTAATTTATCGAGAAACATGTGTTACTCCAAAAAATAAATGTATTATTACCTTGGTCGGCACAGCGGGGACATTTATTGGAATTCAATATATGGGAGACTTCTGTGGTGTTTGTTATATTCTACTTCTTGATTTGGGTGGTTTTAGAAATCATTAATCTGAAAAATTTGGGGATGTCTTTTTCTGTGTGTATATTGTGTCAACATAGTAAAGTAAGAAAGAAATTTTGATCTTTTATTGTTGTCTTTTTTTCATATAAGCAGATAAATGCCCTGTCCAAGGATAGAGCCCTTCCTTTTTTCTCCAAATAATAACAACATCAAATTAAAACCTTGAATAAATAATTGCTGAAAAATGCATTTTTATCTCTCTGTAAAATGGAAGAACTGGATTCTACATTAGCAAGGCTTTAATAATTTCATTAGATTTTGAACTGAATTTTAATCAGGTTCTGAGGCTTTCCATGTGCTGATTCTCCATTTATTCATGATCGCATTTTTCATTGAACAAACTGCTTGACGAACGTTGCTGAAGCCCAGAGCGTGGTGAGTTGATAACATTGATAACAGTGTGAGGTTCATGTTTGGGACCAGCATTTGTGGTCCCTGTTGTGACCTGAGAAACAGATCCTTCTTCTCCTCTCCTTTTAGATAAAAGTGCAACAAAATTTGCTCTACTTTCATTTTTCTTGTGCCTTTGTTTTAGAGGAGTTCAAAATATACCCTCCATGTTACCCTGAATTTTCTGAGGGCTGAGGGAGAAGGAAAGGTTAGCTGTGGTGGTGATGGACAATGAGACGCCCAACTGGTCTAGGATCTCTGAGTCAGTAACTGAGCTGTGGATACAATTCAGCCTTGTGACCTGATACTTACTTCAGCTACTTCTAAACTCTCTCCCCAGGATTCATCGTCTGCAAAGAGTATGGGTTATCAATTTGGGAAGTGTATGGATGGGTTTCAGAACCATATTCTCTTCTTCACTGTCTGGTCTCGGGTGAATCATTTTTCTCAAGTCTGGGGATTGTATTCCCACAATCGACAACATTGCTGCCACTCTGCTGAGTTTTTATGTGAACGTCTGGCTCGCGGTAAGGTACCTCAGGAAATGGAAAGGTTATTATCTGCTTGAACGTGTCCAAAATATTAATTTCATTGTCAAGGGACCAACACCCACGGAGGAGAGGGAACTTGCTCGAGATCACATAACAGAACTGAAACAAAACCTAGGTCTTCTGACCTCTAACTAGTTGCTCTTTCTACCAACTTCTCTGCTTCCCAAATTGTAATTAGTCCTGGTCTAACATCTTACAATGGGGGAAAAAAAAAACCAGCTACATTGAAGCTCACTTCTCTAAAATTTCCTGGCTAATTATATAGGTTTAATTGGATTGGCATGGATAAGATTTGTCTTAATAAGGGAATACATTCATTAGGTTGTAAAGCATAACCCCAAGCAGGAGACAGCACGTGACAAATTACAGAAATAACGAGGCTCCGAAGGGCCGAGCAAGTGCACCTGCAGCCGTCACACCTGGGGCTGTGATTTCATTACCCTCATAAACCAAGGCAAGGTCAGGCTTAGTCAGACTTCGATTAAGAGGCCCCCAAGGAGATCCCAGGTGCAAAAGGGACTAGCGGAGATGCTGTGAGAGATGCGTGAGAACCTCTCTTTCCTGTCCTGGAGCCGGCCTCGCTGGGACAGCTAAATGATGGGGTTTAGTGAACTAGGTGCAGGGAGCTGTCACATGGGCCAGTGGGAAGAGAGCCTGAGTTTAGATTTATCTTCTGCCTTTGGTCAGAGTGGGATCCAGGGAAGGTCTTCATCCATTGCACATGAACCTGACTTTGCAAGTTTGTCCAGGAGCAGCTGTTCCTCTCTGAGGGGCAGGAAAAGTCAGTCTGTTCCTTGATTTGCTGGTTAAGTGGCCCGTGTTCTATGAGCTGGTGCCAATTGGATGAGGAGTGAGACCAAAGCCCCAGAGCCTTGGGTGTGGCCCGGGAAGCCAGCTGACCTGGCCACACTTCAGCTCTCCCAATTAGATCTGCTCTTCTAAGTGGCTCCTGCAGTTTCAAGTTTTCCTCCTCAGAGTTGACTCTGCAAAATGATCCCTGATGGTGGAATACCTTTTCCAACACCACTTGGCCAAATGTCTTGGCTTAGATTTGAGGCGGAGGTGGCAGGGAATAGTCTGAGCCAGTCTTTCAGAAAGTGTTCTCTGTAAGGTGGTCTTAGGGTTTTCTTAAGAGATAAAGTGGTTAATGCAGCCGTGGCTGATTTGGGGCACAATATTCTGTGGCCTTTAGGGTATCCAATATCGTAGCCAATTTGAGTTTTCTGCAATGTCCAGAAATTACAATGGGCATTTAATACGAGCAGACAGAGGAAGCTCTTGACTGAGAAACAGGATCCAAATATTATTTAGAAATAACCGAAGACTGGAAAGTCCAGAGGATGAATAAATGGTACATCTAAAGAGCACCAAGGGCCAACACTGGAAATGCTACATTTTGTCTTCAAGTAGAAGGACCAAGTTTACAGCAGGGAATGAGTGGTGAAGTCCAGGGAGATCTGAAATGATGTAGACAGGACAATGATGTGGGGGAAATCCAGGAGAAACACCCCAGAATCCTGAGATGTTGGGTTTTTTTGTTGAGGCTGGAGTTTGTGTGCTTTTATTCTGTTTCATTTCACTGGTCTCGTTCTGCTGGGCTCTGGGGTGCATGCATATACCCACTTTGAGCTCTTCTTTAACTTCCCTGCAATCTGTTTGGATTTTGCTGTTTTTTGCTACAGTTACCCAGACAAATCATTCCAAAGCATTCCTTGAGGCTCAGTTATTGATTGATTTGGCCAGGTCTGAAGCCTGTTCTTTTAAACCTCAGTTATCGAGCTGATTTACGTCCACATGGTGCAATTGCGGATTTTCGCCAGCACAGAATATTGTGAAAGTAAAATGTGATTACAAAAATGAGAAGGTAGGTGACTGTGCCAGATAGCTTTTGTGTCCAGTGCTTTGTAAACTTTTACCCTGCATAAACCTTAATGATGACAATTATTTCTGTGCCAGTGTTGACTGAAAGGTGGAAGCAATTGGATCAGCGCCCTGCAGATGAACAAATGTCCTCTGAATGTGGGGCAAGTGGATGTCAGCCCTCCTTGTAAAGCACTTGTCCCTGCCCCGAATTAAAAGTCTAGTGAAGAAACCTGGTGACTGACTGAGGTCTCCTTCCTTCCTTTCTTCTTCTTCTCTTTCTTTGTCCATGGTGGCAAGCTGGCTCTAGCTTGGCTAAGAGTCTGAGAGGAAGAGGACTTACAGATCTCAAGAGGAACATCTGTTTCTCTAAAAGCCTCCTACACCTGATTTGTGATGTTGTGACACCAGGAGGGGCAGTATACTGACAGTCAGGAATCTGCTTCATTCCAGGCTATACTCCTGAGCCCATTTCAAACATTCGCACATGTCAGTATCTAGGAGGGCTCCTGGAGAAAGATGTGAGATGTCTGGGCAGCCACTTGGAGAAAGTCTTCAATGGGAGAGGAAGGAGTCCCAGACAGGTGGCCATGGCTGGGCCGATCTGAGTCGGAAAACCGGGGCCCCGAATATTGGATCTGGGCCATAGGAGATGCTGGGGACCTGGGGGAGGTGTTCCCGGTCCTCTGAGCACGCAAGTGGTAGGAGCAAAGTTAGAGCTTGAAATCTTAAGGTAGATGATATAACTGCAGGCAGAGTGTGGGAGCTGCTGGAGCCTCAGTAAGAAGACCATGGGGTATGTCAAGCTTGTTTAAGCTTTTGAAGGAAGAGAGGTCTCTATTGCCAGCTGAGTGATGTTGAGCAAGTCCTATTCCTTCATTTACACAAGGGGAAAACTCAAACCTGGCTCCTAGGATTGTGTGAGACTTGTGTAAGTTAATCAATGAAATTGCTGAGCTCAGCATGTGATGCTGTCCAATCATCAGAATAAGTGGTTGTAAGAAAGGGGATGTTCCCCGTTCTTTCATTTACATGTTTACATCCTGAAATATCCTATATGTTATTGTATTCTAACAGGTGAATCCAGAAAAAAAATCATTTCTTCAGCCTTCAAGAGTTCATAAGTATATATCTTTTCTTTTTAGCTTAATAATTTGGTATTAAGATCACGCTATGCAAAATACTGTTTATGGCCTGTGTTCTCTCTGCACCTGTAAATAGTCTTCTATGAGCAGATAATCTCAAAAGCATGATTTTGCTAGGCAGTGCAGTATTTTTGAATTAACATCTTACAATTATTCAAAAAATTATATTGCTTCTCATTAAAGAAGGTAGGGAAGATTCTAGTAATTCTTAGGGTGTTACTTAAATTCAAATATTAAAAACTTTTTTTTTCAAAAAAAAAAAAGAAAGGAATGCTTCATGAATTTGCAAGTCATCCTTGCACAGGACCACGCTAATCTTCTCTTTATCCATCCAATTTTAGTATGTGTGCTGCCAAAGCGAGTACAAACATTAAAACTTTGTATGTTCACCCAGAAAAAAACTAAAATTGTACGTATGGCCCCCCAGTTGTCATTCACAAAAATAAAAATCAGAAGTAATAAATGGCACTGTTTTAACGAAGGCACATTTGATCACATGAGGGCCTGTGTGTGTGTGTGTGTGTGTGTCTGCGTGCATGCGCACGCGCACTCATATGCATGTGAGTAAATAGAACACGAGAAGAGGAAAAGCTACGATTTGATGTCTTAATCTTGTCAAGAGGCCAGGCCTGCCTTCCTCAAATTCCAGATCCGCTTTGACATCTGAAGTGGATATGAGGGACCCTATCAGAGAGGCAGGAAAGCCAGTCATTAAAAATAGCCTGGAGATGGGGCATCACCGCGCCTGGGTTCCTATCCAGGGTTCAGTGCTCACGAGCACTGTTACTTTGTGCTTTTAGTTAGTTACTAACTCTTCAGTTAGGGCTTTAATTTCCTTCTCTGTGAAATGGGCATAATCGTAATACTTACCCAAACGATTATCATGAGGATTGGGTCAGCTAATATATGTAAAGTTCCTAAGAACAGTGCCTGGTACTTGGTAAGTTTATAGAAAATGTTGTCGATTATGATTACTTAAGAATCTGATCACAGCTATGGAAGCTCAACCCACCAAAATATCAGTATTTGAACACATTAAATTCTGCCTATTATGTACCCATGTAGTAGGCAGAATGCTGGCAGCAGAAATGCCTCCTGGATTAGGAAACAGGATGAAGTGGAGACCGTGAAGGGAAACATCTGTGTGCAGGTACAACAGAGACAAGCCGGGGGGCAGAGAGGCAGGAGCCGAGCCTCGACTTGATGGTGGAACTTGGTTGAGTTGGCACTTTTTCTGAGGATCCATGACTTTTAAAAGAAATGTCTTTTATGTCTTTCTGCTGTATATAGCGCCAAATATAATTTAAACTCTAAAAGCTGCTCATGATGGAACTTGTCGCTTATTCACCAGAGAATGCCAAAGAATGGTTCTATTTAAAGACACCAGTTTAATAAAGAAGATGTGGTGATGGGGGGAGGGTACAGCTCAAGTGGTAGAGTGCATGCTTAGCATGCATGAGGTCATTGGTTCAATCCCCAGTACCTCCTCTAAGAATAAATATA